ATCTAGGGGAATGGAACTGAATGATCTTTAAGGTTCCTTCCAAATCTAACTCATCTATGATTCTGTGATCTTAATCTGTCCCTTATAACAGCAGTTGCTGATCAGTGTTAGGCAAGTGAATAGCAAAGCTGATCATGAGATACTTCCAACACTTAGCATTATATTCCTGTGCATCCTGGCACAGAGATGAGACCCTCTCTGGGCAGGGGAAAGGGTGGAGAGAAACTTACAATCTGCCAAATGCAGTGAGAAATGTTTTCTTTCAAGCTTCAGAGGGATGAAGGGAATAGAGAAGGTTTGACCTTGACCACGTCACTGCTCTTCATTCTCAGCGTCTTGCCTAAGTGGCTGCAAGTCCACATTAGTTCGTGATTGTTGGATGGCCCTGGCCATGCCCAGCAAGTATCAAGCTTTGCACAAAAGCAGGACTAAATCAAAATTTCTCCTCTGCAAGGAGCTTATAGCGTCCTTGAAAGTTTGTTCCATGGGAAGGTTGCCTGGGATTGGGGGTGTTCAGACAGGTTCTTCAAAGGCAGGAACCAGCATGTCGAGAGCACCCAGTCCGTAAGTCCAGGAACAGGATCTCAGTCTGTCTGGCCATACAAGGTGCTCTGCATCATGGGGGAAGTGTGTCGAGTGCCACTAGAAATGCACAGAATCACAGAGTTGTTGAGGTGGGAAAAGACCTCCAAGACCATGGAGTCCAACCATTCCCCCAGCACTGCCAAGGCCACCACTAACTCATATCTCCAGGGGCCACATCTGCAAGGCTTTTGCATCCCTCCAGGGATGGGGGCTCTACTACTGCCCTGGGCACCCTATGCCAGGGCTGCACAACCCTTTCAGTGGAGAAATTTTCCCAATATCCAACATGAATCTTCCCTGGTGCAACTTGATGCCGTTTCCCCTCATTGTGCCACTTGTTCCCTGGGAGCAGAGCCCGACACCCCCCCCAGCTCCCCCCTCCTGTCAGGGAGTTGCAGAGCCAGAAGGTCCCCCCTGAGCCTCCTTTTCTCCAGGATGAGCCCCCCCAGCTCCCTCACACACTCCTCATCAGACCAGCGCTCTAATGTAACTCCTTACCTAGTGTTTGTAAGAATTGCCAAACCAAATCTCCATGCAACCACCAGGAGAATGTAACCCCGTGTTGTCCTCCAGCTCTCCACATGCCAGACAAATGGTTGGGGCTCTTGGAGGACTTGACTTGCTTGGAGGGGGGATACAGGCAGGGCTGACAGGACAGAGCAACTGTGTTTTAGACCACAGCTGTCCACGTGTCTGGAGTTATTTTCCCCAGCCTTGTGCCTTCCAGCTCCTTTCCTTGGGAGCAAACCATGTAGTGAAAACTTGCAGGAATCCTGTATTTCTGAGCACGTAGGCTGGTAATCACTGAGACAGCTGAAGCCTTTGGTTCGTTCTCGTAGGCTTCTCCAACAGAGCAGACATTTGTCAGATCTGAATTCTGTTGAAAGGTGTCTTGTTTAGTTAATTAAATAAAAAAATGAGTGGAGAAACAATAGCAGAAGCAATACCATCCTATTTCCAGCTTGGCAACCCCGAGTGTCTCCCCTTGGTTTTGACTACTTTTCCAATTTCTTTGTGTCTCTCAGTTTCTACGATGACTGATGGCCAAATCCTCAGTCCCACTGAAGTCGGGGGAGTTTTGAAATGAATTGGAATTTGGCCTTTGAAGTGAAAATAGTTATTTAGCGTTAAATGGAGTCAAGAGATAAGAGGTCTAGATTGTGCTGTCTAGATACTCTTTCTCATAGCTGAAGTAGGGCCCCCTGCAAGGCATGCACAGCTAAGGATGAGCAGAGAAGGGCAGGGGAAGGATTTCCCAGTAACTGCGGCATTTTTCTGGGGTGAATTCTTGCTTTTCTTGGAGATGTTGCTGTGTGATTCAGGCTTCAGCAGTTCCTCCCTTCAGCATCTCAGACCTAAAAGCCTAGGTTGGGAAATGCCTTTGTGTTCCTACCTGGTCTGGTTCCCTTGACACATCACTCCAAGGCACCATCTTGGGACAACACCTCAAGCTGCCATCTGTGCACCTACATTCCTGCCCTTGGACAAGCACGAGGTTGTTTCCATCAACAACCCACAGTGGGTGCATGGTGGAGTGCCCAGGTCCCCCTCTTGCCCCTTCCTGGAGCTCTGTGTGTCCACAGCTCCTTGGTCACACCTGAGAGCAAGGACAGGTCATCCCAACCTCCCAGGCTTTGAGATGCTGTGCAGTCAAAAAAACTTTTAAGGTCTGGGCCCCATTCTCCCTGCTTTGGCTCTTCTTCCCCACAGATCCTATTTCTTCTTGGCTTTTCTTCTTCACTGGGGTGTTGGGAAGATAAAAGCACAGAACTAGTCTTTGCCTGAATGCTGGATGATCATCTACACCCCTGCCTGCTGCCAAGTCACGGACGTTGCTCCTTGTTTGCCATTCTCCTTCCTTTTATTTCTTGCATTTTTTTTTCCCCAGGCTTGTTTAACTCTGATATTTTCCATCCTGTGGTCAGTGACTGCAGAGCTTTGGTCTGTGTTTGCTCTGCCCCTTGCCATGGGGGTATCACCTCTTATCTGTCCTGAACAGGGATGGAGCTATCTGTCCTCCCCTGTCCTATTGCAGCAGCCCCAAACTGAACAATCTTGCACATTTCACATTGACTTAATTGGTTTGGGTTTTTTTTTTTAATCTTAAACCTTTTTTTTCATTCATGGCCCTTAAACACAAAGGGTTTGGCTTATAATATCGCTATGTCTTTAGGAAAAAAAGTGTCCCTGCATGCATTTCTTGCAGGAATTTACAGCAGAATTTTAGTTCCCAGCTCATTTTCCATGCATTTTACCTTACTTCTGCTGAAATTGAAGCCATGTCTGTGTGCAACTTTTATAATTTCTGTGCAATATTTACAAATTAAATACAGTAGCAGACTCTCTGGCTTATAGCCCAAGACTTGAAGTGCAACCAAACAGTTAAAACTCAGATGTTTTGAGAGAAGAGCAAAACCGCAGAAAACAAAACTCTTACACACTTAAGCTTGTGAGGGCTTAGTAACAGATAAGGGTTTTAACTAACTTTTATTTTGACATTCCCTTTTAATAAGCGTTGCTCTTTACAGAGCGGTTTATGTGATTGCGTTACTGAGAGGAAACAAAGAAATGCCAGGAAAACTTGATGTGGAGGATCTGTACTCATAAAATGCTTGTGAGCTCCAGAAAACAGGAAAGCTTTTCCCATCTCCTTTTTCTTTTTTTGTTGGTTTTTTTTTATTATTATTATTTATTTTTTTGTTTGTTTTTTTTAATTCTCTGACATTCAGCTTGGGAAAAAAAAAAATTTTTTTCAAAAAAACCACACACTGAATATCTCAGAAAACCGGATCTGGTGGTCTGAGACTAAACACAAATTCCTTCCACTGCCACGAACAAGCCTCTTCGTCCCACTTTTGCCAAACATGAGCCCTCACTCTTTGTGGTTAAAAGCCAGTTGGCCTCAGAAAATAGGTTTTAACTCCTGGGGATGCCAAGGAATACAGATTCCATGGGCAGATGGCTTTGGCAGGCAGGGTTGGAGGCTGTTGAACCACTGACCATTGAAATGTATTTGTGAATGGCTGCTTCCTTCATCTGAGCGCCCTGAGCTGAGCTGTGCCAGTGATGAAAATAAAGTTAATTGCTGTGGGACGGGGTTAAAATAAAAGCTGCTATTTATCTGAATGGAGGTGAGGGTTTGGGGTAAGGGATGAGGCTGAGCAGGGGTTTTGTGGCTACAAAACCAGTACAGATGCAGACTGCTGTGGTCACCACAGCACTCACGGTTGTTTCCCTGTTTCTGGGGATGATCCTGGGGACATGTCCTGTGCCACCCTCAAGCACTGCTCCCAGCAGCCTTGTGAGGAGCGAGGCATTAAAACATCCCACGTGCTCTCAGAGCCAAGACTGAGTGTTAAAAAGGCAGCAGGCAGTCAGGGAGCTGCAGGTGTGCATAGGGTAACCCTGCATCGTCTCGGGTGAAGGCAGCCAGTGCCAGGACCATCTCCATCTTAGCTGCATCCTTGATGATGGCATTTCAGCTCTGCCTTCTTCACTGGGGATAGCCACGCTGCAGCCTGTTTGGAAATCTGAGATGTCTAAGGCTGCCAAAGCATTTCTTCCATTTGACTGTTGTTTTTTTGGAGACCTGCCATCTCGGCTACTGGTTACAGCCAGCACATAGGGGCTTGCTCACTCCTTCTGAAACATTGCAGTCTCTCGAGTAAACCATTTTTTGGGCAGTTCCTCCACTTTGTGGTTGTTGAATTTCCATGTTATCCATTTGGAGCTCTGTGCATGCAGCCCTCCATCTGGAGGTGGTGGTCCTGCCTCCCCATGCTGCCAGAGCCAAGCATGGCCCTCATCTTCTTCTTCAGCCGTGTGTCCTGTCCCAGTGTAGCAATCATGAAGGACATGCATAAAGTAAGGCCAAACAAAACCATTTGGTGTGGGCAAATTACCAGTTTACGTGATAATTTGCTTTTTAGTTTATTTTTTCCCACCTAGAAATTCCTGATACACTTAAAATGTTTCCCTGCAAACCCATGCAGCAGCGTGCCATGTTGGCAGGCAAGAGGAGCAGGTGATGCTGGTGTATCCAGGTGTATCAGGAGCTCCTTAAGACTTCAGAAAAAAATAACTCCTGGTATTTGTAGCCTACCTGACTTCCTGCTGCTCAGCTGGGCTAACCAGTTTTTCCCTGGTTAGTGTGGAAGAAACAAAGAAACCTGGGGGAGTTTTTCCTGGGAACCAAAGTCATGTTATCTAACTCAAGAAAAACTTTCAGCTGAAATACGACTGTTAACTGAAAGAGGTTTAGAAGCATGGGTTGGTGGTAGATTGTTAGATGCCAAGAAATTGGCTCCCTCTTTGTGGTCCCCTGCCAAGGGCCGGGCTGTCTGGTGGGACAGATGTGATGACCAAGCAGAATCATGGAGGAATAGATTAACTAAAGACTTTCTTTGACTTTCCAGGCGACAGCAGAGACTTCCCAGTGGGAACAAGTCTCAGCAGCACGCGGATCATCAGCAAGGTGGCACCAAACATAACAGGGACCACCAGAAAGTCTACCAAGGAGGCCAGGCCCCTCACTCCTCAGGCAGGACGGGCCACCACGGCTACAGCCAGAACCGGAGATGGCACCACAACCAGAAGCACTCGCCCAACGACAAAGAAACGCACAGAAACGCCAAAGAGACTGAGAATCTGAAAATCGAGGACACCTCCGCCTGCACGGTGCACATCCCCACGGAGGCACCCCGAGGCCCAGAGGCTGTGGAGAAGCAGCCTCAGCAGTACACCCCGGAGTCAGAGACCAAGCGGAAGGACAGTATTCACGAGCGCATCGGGGAAAGGCCCAAGATCAATCTGCTTCAGTCGTCCAAAGACAGGCTGCGGAGGAGACTAAAAGAAAAGGTATTATTTCTTAGGGGAATCTCGAGTTTCTGGGTTTTTTCGAGAATATGGCTGTTGGCCATTCTCCACACAAAGGTGGGGTGGGCTCAGGGGACCTTCCCATCAATGCATCTGACTTACCTTAATCTCCGGGTGTCAGCGCTTCTCATGAGGTGTCTTTGTGCTTCTTTAGGAGGCTTTTTATTGACATAATTAAGGCTCTGTGCTTGACTTCTTGGTTGAGGTTGCTGCCAGCTTGAGTTCTCCAAGGACTGGGAACTCTGCTCCTATCCGTGAGGGAAGGCTTCCCCCTACCCTTGGGGAAGGGTGCACACACAAGTTCCCTCTTGATCTGCAGAGCTCATCCACTTTGCAAAAAAACATCTAAAAAAGGCAATTTGTCTGTCCGCAAGTACAGAGCTAAATGCCAAGCTTTGCCTTTTGAGTGCTGAATAGTTGGGCTCCGGTACTTTAAAGTTGATATCCATTTATCTCTGCAATGAATTGAAATGCCCTTATCTTTTCCCCCTTCCTTCCAACAACCCAACAATAACAAAACTGTTGCATGCAAGTGACGGAGGAGAAATCCTTTTTGGAAACAATATTCAACCACAGATTTCTGAGGAATTTGGAGATGATATCTCCATTTGCCCCCTGTGAAACTCAAATTCTTGAGATTCTTTCATAAGGCTGGAAAATGCATCTGAGAGGGTCTCTCTAATGAGATTTCCAAAATACAGAGCAAAAATAACATGAACACATACGATTCCATGGGAGTGCATGCTGGAAATTTATACCTTTGAATGCATGAGGATTTACTATTTCTGTATGTGGCATGGGGAGGAGGAAGAGATTTTGTTAGTTATTTTTATGTTCTTTAAAGCAATGGGAGTATGGCAGAGACCTTCAGTGTATTCATATTAATGCTCTTCTCGGGAATTTAGAGTCTCGTAAGAAACACACACATAAGCACCCACTCTTGGGTGGGTGTCGTCAACACAACCAGCCTCCTGATGGGAGGTTTGGACAACTCCAACTGGTTGGTGTTGGTGTTGTCCAGAAAACTGCTGCAGGTTTGTATTGCGTAGCACAGTGTAAGACTGAGGTGGAGGTACAGAAAGGAGCAGGCCAGAACAAGTGGGATGCAATGGCTTACACTGGGGAGAAGGAGCAATGCACGATAAAATGTTGAAAAGAAGCAGTAGTTTCTGTGGTAATGATGTGAAGTGAAACGTGTAACAGCCAAGAGATGGAAAAGCTGAGAGTCTTTCGAATGCTGATGTGGCATCTTTGATCTCAATTTACATTCTTAAATATATATTAAAAAGTAGGTATTTTTGGAGGATTGTTGTCTGAGAATTTTGCAAGCATCAGTGCACTTTCTAAGTAGAGACACAAAAAATGCCCATTATCATGATGTCGCAGACACCAGAAGCTGGTACGAGATGCCAAAGCCACTCAGGGCATGCTGGCTCAGGACCCTTAAGGACATCTTCTCCCTGAGCCAAGGGGGAGGACTTTGGGATGGAATGCTGTGGGAAATGAAGAAAGAGAACATTTCTGGGGCAGGATTCATGCGCTTGTAGCTTTCAATGCTGAGATTATACCATCATGCTGCTAAAAGATGCTTTGTCTTTTCTCTTTTCTCTGTCTGTTTATATGTCTCCCCTATCCCCTTCCCCCTTTGCTGCTTGTGCAAGGACAAGGGCTGATATGTCTGTTTTTTCCTTGTGTAACAGACGCCTTGTCTTTCCCTTTTCACGGACCAGGACGAAGTTACGGTGGAAACCACCGACCCTGAAAAGAATAAAATGGACAAACTAATTGAAATTCTCAACAGCATGAGGAACAACAGCAGTGATGTTGACTCCAAGCTCACCACATTCATGGAGGAGGCCCAGAACTCCACCAACTCTGAGGAGATGCTGGGCGAGATAGTCAAGACCATCTACCAGAAAGCGGTGACGGACCGCAGCTTTGCTTCCACAGCAGCCAAGCTGTGTGACAAAATGGCCCTTTTCATGGTGGAAGGAACCAAGTTCCGGAGTCTGCTCCTCAATATGTTGCAGGTAATGAGAAAAAATAAGTTTGTTAGATGCCTGCAGCATCACCTCACCTGGTCTTAACCATCTGTTTGGAGCTGAGCTGTTTCCAAATTCCCTTTGAACCCAACTGATGAGAGGATGGAAACGTACCTGCAATTTTGTCTGTGGTTACCATAGAAAATGTGGCACTGAGGGCATTGTCGAGTTGCTCTTTGTTCCTATTTCATGAACTCTACGTAGAATTACAGAATCTCACACCAGGGCCCATCTGTGAAATGAGTCAGTTGTTTGAGGCAGCATCCCCATGGCATGAAGAGAAGTGAACTGGGAGGGTCTTACAATGTGGGCTGTTAGAGTGGAGGGTCCATCTCAGCACCAGCAACACCAAGTTAAGTCATGGTCCCTGAGTGGGCCATTGGTTGCATCACCTGGCTGAAGGGCTCGCTCTTGGTTTCTGGTTGCAAACAAAACTGGAGTAATTTGTGTCTTCACTCATTATTCTGTGTGGCTTGTTTACTGATGTCTGCAGAGCTGGTTGGTTGGTCTGCTCCTAAACCGTTGGTGACAGCAAAGTTGCAGGGGGGCAGAAAAAAAGCAGTGGCTCTGATAGCTGGTCCATGAGGTTAATGGTTGGACTTGATGTTCTTGGAGGTCTTTTCCAACCTAGATGATTCTCTGATAGTGGTGGATGATGGGGGAAAAAGGCTGTCCTCAACTGCCCATGGTCTGCTGAGAAGAGCATTTTTTAATGTAGTACCACCATCAAAGTGGGGGTTGTTTTCTGGGAACCTCCAACTTTCTGCCTCTGGAGACAGAGTTGAAACCATGAATTTCCATCCTTAATTTAATGTGCATTTCCATTGGCCGTTCCCCCATACACACACATCTCATCTGGGGGACATACAGAGCTCCAGTTTTTGACTGATACTGTTCTTGCTGCTGTTGTTGGAGATCCTGTCTTGGATGCTGTGCCTGGCTTTCTGTACACTGAGTTGACCTTTGGGCATCACAGCAAGCAGAGAAATAAGGAACAAATTAAAATTATGAAAATCAATATTTAATGTAACCTAAGATAATTCTGCAAAGTTTCTGCTCCAGTTTTGCTTCTGTCATTGCTCTGTCCCTATGCCCACTCCTTCTCTTCTCTGCCCTGCAAAGCCCTTGGGCAGCACACAAACCTGCCCATTGCCTGTACCAGGTGGTGATTTTCTCCAGATCACTTTATTTCCAAAGCTATTATAAATCAGAATGAGACAAATTGCAGTCAGAATCAGTCCCGGATTTAGCAGCAAAGAGGCTGGAGGGAGCTCTAAACCCTCTGTACATCCCACTCTTCCCGTATCAGGTGGTTCTTGTGTCTCTTCCTGTTTGGCTGAGCGACCTAGGAAATCCAAAATAAAGTCTGGGAACGACGGCCAGGGGCAGCAGGGTGTTGGCAAAATATTGAGGCTGATGAGAGTCCTGAGTTAGGGAGGACTCTTCCAATTTGCTTTATTCTCTCGTCCCAGCATTTCCACCCATGCCAACAGACCCAGTAAACTGATTTGTACTGCGGCATCATGGGCAAGAATGAGTGCGTTCGCATTCAGCTCTTCACAGGATGAATGTAGGAGGATAAATAATGTATCTCCTATCTCCAGAGAGTCTCAAAGTGCTTCTCGGGAACATGTAGCCAGTCACAGTGTGATTTGGAGCGTGGTGTCTGCTGGGGAGACATGGGGAGAAATGAAGTGCAAAGAGTGAGCAGGGTGTGCGGGTGATCAAGTTCATGTGCTGAAGCAAGGAGAGAGATGCAGAAGGGATTTGTTCAGCCCCAAACTGCACATCTTTTATAAATGTCTTCACGGGACAAAAGGTGACAGATCACCACAGGTCAAAAGCAAAGTGCTATGTGAAATTAAATAATTTAACATTTCCTTTCTGATAGTAAAGGATTTTGACTTTCTCTAAGCACAGTTTCTCTTTCCAACCAAAACAATTGGATGCACTGACACAGATTCATTAAATACTTTGGTTAAGCCCTAAACCAGGAATTGTTTTATGTATTCAAGCTTGATAGCTCTGGCTGGAGACAGACTCAGGTATGAGGCACAAAAGTCATTCCAAGTGCCTTGGTATAAAGTAAGGGGATTGATTATCAATATCAATATGGTATATTGGAATTGATCTATTATGTATTATCAATATCAGTAAGGCATATTGGATATTATACCATATTATGGAGTAATGTGGATATCCTGTTGATATAATAATACATTGATATAAAATATTATATACCCATATATTTTTATATATATAAATAAATATTGATTTTTATATGTATTTTTTATATATATAGATATATTATGATAGGTAGATAGATAGATATATGAATGATGATTTAACATTACCTAGCTTCAGTCCTGACCCCTCCAGCACATCAGATATTTTCCATCAGCCATTTCTAGATAATTTACCATTAATCAAAGAAACAAACAAACAAAAAAACCCACCAAAATAAAAACCCAACCCCCAAAAAAACACCCCTTTAATAAAACGCCTGCTCCAGAGCAGGATTTGTGTCTCTCTAGCACCTTTCAGACTAATCTGATCCCCGGACGTAAGGAGCTCGGCTCGCTGGGCACTGGCGAGCTGGGGAATTACTCTGCCGGGGTGTGATAAATCGGGATCAACGTGATCCCCTCCCCGTGCTGCTGGCGCCTGGGGCTGGAGCTCTCGCCCCCCCATCTGCTCCCAGCAGATGCTCCTGTTTTGTAGGGGCTTGTTTGTCCCTTTCTCTCAGGACTGTGAAGGCAACAGCTCTGCCCCACCAGAGGCTCTCAGAAATTAATGCATTAACCTGCTGAGATGCCCTACAGCATCCTGGTACCTATAGACAGCATCCCTCTACCTATAGACAGCATCCCTCTACCTATAGACGGCATCCCTGTGCCTATAGACAGCATCCCTGTGCCCCACTGGACCTTAACACAAGCAACAAGGCCTTCTGCTGCAGAACAGGCAGGAAACTCTCCTTTTAACCTGGATCCTCTTATATTTTCACCTGTTGACAAGGCACTCATGCTCAAGGGTTGCACATGTTCACAGCTTATCTCAGGGGACTTGTTTTGATCCCAAAAGAGATGCCAGTGCTGCAGCACTGGAATGTTGTCACATCACCCCCCTTCCTGCCAGCAGCTCCTCTAAAAGCTTCCTCCCAGCCAGTGTTGGTACATTTTGTGCTCTAAGGGGGTCTATCAGGAAAACTGTGGTTTGAATTTATCCCTCAGTTTGTGTTTTGGTCCAAAATCTTGACTGAGTCTTGAGTTTGGGTGCTGTGAACCTTTCAGGAAAAGTGATGTGGAAAGGGGAGTTGTGGAGTAGAGAGCCGGTAAGCTTGGGGAGATGCTGCCATGAGGGAACTGGGCACTGCAGGGGTCATTTGGCATCTGGGTTGTCCAGCCTTGACACAGACTGCCTAGGCAAGTGGTGGAGGCACCATTCCTAGAAGGATTTAAAAGGCATGTGGATGTGGCATTTGGGGACGTGGGTCAGTGGCGGACTTGGCAGTGCTGGAGGAATGGTTGGATTTGATGATCTTAGAGGGCTTTTCCAGCCTAAACAATTCAGTGATTCTGTGATTTGGGTCTGATTTTCTCCTTGTTGAGTTTGGTTTAGGGTTTTGGTAGCAGGAGTGATTTTGAGCTGTGTGAGCCCCTGGGATAGGCCTGAGTGACTTGGGCCCGGGGAGCTTGAATGGCTGGGGACATGCAAGAACATCTTAGTGGACACATATACAGTTTCTTCACGCCTCTAGAAATACCTTCTTAATTAATACATTAAAAGTAAGTCTCCTGTGAGAGGTTTTTGGTTGTCAGTTTCACTCACTGGCATGTCCAGGCTCTTTTTTTTTTTTTTTTTTCAGTTGGAGGGTGTTAAGCAATGTGCCACAAACCCTTCACATGTAACATAAGTTGGAGTACTCCTCTGCTGGAACAACCGTGCTCTTTATAGCAGAGCTGTGTCTGCATCTGAGCTATGCAGAGCCAAGTGTATTATTAGAGTGGACATCACTGGGGCTGTAATTGTACACTGCTCCCCTTAGCAACCACGGCCAACAGCACATCAAACAGAAGGCTGATACCTTCTTTTAATAATAATAAAAAAAAAAAAAGACAACCACCCATCATGAAATGAACATCCCAACACAGAGCAGCAGCAGAGCCCACTGCAGAGAGCCAGTGCCTGGTGGAAATGCCTTGGTGCCAGTGGAGAGGGGCTGGTTCCGTTGCATACCCTGTGGCACATCCTGCTGCATGCCCTGTTGGGTAGGTACCCTGTGGCATACCCTAGGGCACACCCTAATGTATACCAGAATTCATACCCTAATGCATACTCAGTGGTGCACCCTAGTGCATATCCTGTTGAATACCCTATGGCATATCCTAATGCACTCCCTATGATATATCCTAATGTGTTCCCTATGAACTACCCTGTGGTATACCCTAATACATACCCTAATGCATACCCTATTACATACCCTAATACACGTCCTATTACACACCCTAATGCCTACCCTATTGCACACCCGAATGCATACCCTATGGCTCACCTTATTGCCTACCCTACTGCATATCCTGTTGGATACCCTATGGCACTCCCTAATGCTTTCCCTATGGTATATCCTAATTCTTTCCTATTGCATACTCTATTATATACCCTAATGCCTACCCTATGGTATATCCTAATGCATACCCTATTATATACCCTAATATACATCCTATTGCACATCCTAATGCCTCCCCTGTTGCACATCCAAGTGCAAACCCTATGGCTTGCCTTACTGCCTACCCTGCTGCACCCCTGTCGCACACACTACTGCACATCCTGCTACATTCCCTGTGGCATACCCTGCTGCACACCCACACAGGGTTTCTTCATTGTCTTACTTTAACCTCTTGGTGACCCAGAAATGGCCCTTCCTTGATCACTGCTGTGCTTGGTTCTGGTTGTAGAAACTTCATAGAAACGTAGAATATCCCAAG